GGGTTATTTTTGGTCCCCGCGGTCCGTTTTGGTGTCCTGCAGGTCGTTTCAGCCGTGCAGCTAACATCGGACTTGGAAATAAGATTGGTGGCATCTCTTGAGCAGCGTCAGAGGTTTTTTAAGAATAAGATGATCGACTTTATATTTCATTCACTGATCAATATATTGTGCATCAAATTCTGTTTTCTTCCAACTCCTATTTAGCTTGATGTAACAACGTGAGTCTCATCCAATGGCCACTTTGCGGTCTGCTTAACGTATGGCATCCACGGTTCCCCGTCCTTTCTTCCTCCCACCATTTCCAAGGTTAGATACAGCAGCAACAGGTTTCTATCAACCGTATCAGTAGAGAAGCGATAGATAAGCCTATCGCTAGCCACGTGGTGATAAACATAGGCGCTCCAACGCTGGCATAGACTCCAAGAGGTTGCAGGAAGCTCTGATACTAGCCGTAATCAAACTATATATCACTGTCATTGCGATTGATGCACTAGTGAGGAAGATGGATGCCACCTAGACTACAGTCAGCGTGTCTTCTTACTAGTAAAGGTATCCGTTAGATGAGACGTGGCCAATAGAAGAGATAATGGATAGTTTTTCCCCTATGATACAAGGATGGAGGTGATTCCAAAGCCAACTACGAGGGCTGTTGCGATAAAGCCTAAAATGTAGGCCGACTTCGACCATCTAGAAACATCGCGAAACCCTAAAAGGGTCTCATCATTCCCCTGTGGTAGCAGCTGTTCAATTTCAGTCGACACAGAGTCGAAGATCCTTAATAGGTTGAACGAGAATGAAACGCTCAGGTTAGAGAAGCTGGAGGGATGTGCTATAATTTGTTGTCCCTCATAATAACCCCAAAGCCCTACCGAATAATATGCGGGAAGGTGTAATTTGAGATCGTCTTGAAGACTATTTGCTGATATAGTTGGCCTTATGCTCCGCGGCGTTAGAAGCATCCGATGCGATGCCTCCCGCCTTGTAGGTAGTACTAGATAGGCTAGATGAAAGCGACCGGTCGAGGTAGAGATGACTACCCGAAAAACTGCTAAATTCCACCTATGATATGCATTAGTTACAAACCACATATAAGTTAGAGTCGTCGTCGTTCCACGCTCACCTTCATGAAATATAGACTTGTTGGAGAAGACGGGGAGGTACATCCCACAAAAACAATAATAAGGCAGATCAAAGTAGTGGCCGAGATTGCCAAAGGAAGAAGCTTTGCTATTCGTAAGAACATTTTGCGAGGCATAAGGACTTCGAAGCATAGGTAAAATTCTTAATCCGTATCGATACGAAAAATAAAGGTGAAGTATAGGTATGAAAATCCGAATTAGTTCACCCTTTATATGAAGTGTCTAGAAGAAGGTTCCTCATAGTTTCACCGAGGCGACCAAAAGGTCTACGCTAAGAACTTTCTCCTTGTAGCACTCAAAGAAGTTGTTTATGTCCAATCAGAAGGGATAGCATTTATCGGGTAGAGTGCAGATCACAATGGTCTATCTGCACACCTAAAACAAGACGGCAGCCTTAACGCCAAGTCGGACGTTAGCCGTCACCTAAAAGGTAGTGGCAGGCTTATTGCAATAGCAATAACGAGGTCAAAACCACACCCCTTGCTCTTGCTTCGTTTTAGATCTTCACTCATAACCAAAAAGGTGCCGCGGTTTTCTACGCCACGGTATTCTTCGATCACCGTTAACCATGGCTTACAACGCAAAAACAGTGGCTAGCTACGACTATAGAAATCACCACTACGCTTTACTTCTTGTTGGTTTCGCAACCCTCAAAAGGTAAATATTGCTTATGAACCTACGACTATTTAGGTGTACTTCCTATCTTCAAGTTTTCATTCCATATTTCCTTAAGGCACATTAGTTTACTTCGAACTAATATATTCGAAATGGGTGCCACCCTTCCCACCCGATCGAAGCGATCTAGTACGAACAAAAGCAATGCGCCAAAAGCAGGGTCGTCGCAAATCAGGCCTCATGAAAAAAGCATGCGAGTATAGTAGGATGTGCGATGCAGATGTGTGCTTGGGCATACGTCTCCGGGAAACAGGACGAGTCTATGTCCTGTCGGCGGATGCTTCAGGATTTTGGTCTTTCCTAGGCTCGCAATTAGTATGTCTCAAGTTCTTGCTCCGAGGAAAGATGATTGATCTCCCTAGGCCTCTTATTATCCAACCCTGAATTTAGTAACAGACCAGGACCTAGAGCTGTTCGAACGAGGGACATGCCCGGGAATGTCACGCCCGAACATATAGTTAACTACGTGTGTGTGTGTGTGTGTGTGTAATTCATTTACGCTGACCCTCGTCCCTTGCTACGCGCATACTGTATCTGTTATCAAACTCGAGACTTTCACACACCGCTACAATTTTAATTAGATATGCTGAGAAGCTTCGAAGTATAGCAATCTACAGCATGCTAGAAATTTGCCATCAGAAGACTGAGAACACTATCCTTAATCAATGCCAACATTCGAAAATACAATTTCCTCCGATCCTGCTATACACTTGTCACGGTCACCTCCAAGTGACAGGTCATCATCCAATGCGACCTCTACCATATCTTCCATATCGCTTTGAAGGTAACGAGGACGGTCATGTCTCTCCCATCTCGCCTCTTTAGCTAGCGTTGCATTGTCAACGCTTTTGCTTGACAGAAACCGAAATCGAACCTTGCGATATTGTACAGCGATAATCTGCTCGCCTTGGGCACAAAGTGCCGTTGCAAGTCTTTCACACGGCCACTAGACCCGGATAATTTAGGGTCAACTAGATCACCAAATGGCACAACCACCCTGATGCCAATAGCATACTCGAAACCGGCACAGCCAGATTTCCATCTAGAAGTTTCTGTCCTCGTGACTGCTCGGCAATACGAGCATCTAAGACAGTATGGTAACCGATCACAACATATATATCCTCTCCCTCATCGATAGTACGCTCAATCCACTTGCGGACATCTTCTGATTTCACAGTATCCCGGAACCACTGCCCATTATTATCCAGGTAATAGGTCTTCACTTGTTCCGTATTGATGTGAATCGAGGCATTCGTACGGCTTGACACGGACGAGGAGAGGAAGGCGGTAAGCTGAGAACCAAATTTACGTCGGACCCCCAAGAGAGTCGGCACTGTCGTACTGCGTTTCAACTTTTTCGATAACACTGAGACTTTCCCCTGGTATCGGATCAAGGTAATCTCGGTGAGGCTCGTCAATATTGGTGACGAAACGTCCCAGCTTAATAGCAGATGGAGGCAAGAAGAACTGTGGAAGAAGTACGCTGACACGCATGTTCAGAAGAGGGTTAGATCTTTTGGGCGGTTCAACTGAGGAGAACAAAGGTGCGTCGCAGAAGAAGGATTACGTGGAGAGACAATGGGGTTGAGGCAGTGTAGGTTAGTCTGTCAACTACTGGATCGGCGCACGGGATCGGCCGCGCTATGACCCTGCGGCTGAACTTCCCGCCGCCGGGCGAATGAGGACGCAAGGATTTGGGAGAGGGGTAGGATAACGTGGCATTGTTTGATTGAAGCCCGCACGGGACAACTCACCAACTAACTTCATTTACACACGTATCTTCAGAAGGTTACGTTTTAGAAAAACCAGACCTCAGAAGACAGTTCAGAAGCCGTCACAAACAAACAGGACAGCAAAGAAGCGATCTAGATGTCTCGCCAGGCGGTTCGGGCCACTCCGGACGACGATTCTGATCTTGCAGGGTCGTTCCATAGCCTCGCGAACATGCTGAAAAGCCAATGCGAGCAAACAGGACATATAGGCGACCTCGATGAAGCGATTCGGTTGTCTAGGGAGGCGGTTGTGGCTGCTCCTAATGATCACCCCAACCTTGCAGGGCTATTGTGTGATCTCAGAAAACAATGTCAACCGTCGATACGAACGAGCAGGACAGATGGAAGACCTCGAAGAAGCGATCCGGGTGTCTCGCCAAGCAGTTACGGTCACTCCTGATGATCATCCCAACCTTGCGAGAGGATTGGAGTAACCTCGGGTTCACGCTCCGCAGTCGATACGAACGAACAGGACACATAGAGGACCTCGAAGAGGCAATCCAAGTGTCTCGCCAGGCGGTCAAGGTCACTACTAGTGACCATCCTGGTCTTGCAGCGGTACTGTATAACCTCGAAAACAAACTCGAACGTCGATACGAACGAATAGGACAAATAGATGACCTCGAAGAGGCAATCCAGGTGTCTCGCCAGATGGTCAAAGCCGCTCCTAGTGACCATCCTAGTCTTGTAGTGTGGTTAAGTAATCTCGGGAACAAGCTTGAAAGTCGATACGAACGGACAGGACAAATAGAGGACCTCGAAGAGGCGATCCACGTGACTCACCAGGCGGTCAAGATCACTCCTAATGACCATCCTGTTATTGCAGCGGTCCTATATAACCTCGAAAACAAACCGGGACGCCGATACGAACGGACAGGACAAATAGAGGATCTCGAAGAGGCAATCCAGGTGTCTCGCCAGGCGGTTATGGCCACTCCTAGTGACCATCCTGATCTTGCAGCGTGGCTAAATAACCTAGGGAACAAGCTTGAAAGTCGGTACAAGCGGACAGGACAGATGGCAGCCCTTGAAGAAGCGATCCGGGTGTCACGCCAAGCAGTTGCGGCCACTCCTGATGATCATCCCAACCTTGCGAGAGGATTGAGTAACCTCGGGTTCACGCTCCGCAGTCGATACGAACGAACAGGACACATAGAGGACCTCGAAGAGGCAATCCAAGTGTCTCGCCAGGCGGTCAAGGTCACTACTAGTGACCATCCTGGTCTTGCAGCGGTACTGTATAACCTCGGAAACAAACTTAGATGTCGATATGAACGAATAGGACAAATGGATAACCTCGAAGAGGCGATCCAGGTGTCTCGCCAGGCGGTCCAGACTACTCTTGATTATCATCCTGATCTTGGGATGTGGTTACAAAACCTAGGAATTAACCTCGTACGTCGATTCGAACGAATAGGACAGATAGATGACCTCGAAGAGGCGATCCAGGTGTCTCGCCAGGCGGTTCAGACCAAATCAGCACCTCCTCTCCCCCGGATCACGGCCGCCCTGCTGACCGTTCGCCTTATGCTCAAGCGAGAAGACCATCATGGCGGCTATGCACTATCAGTTCAAGCTATTGATCTCCTACAGCTCGTATATAAAAGGTCTTTGACAATACAGGATCGACAATATGTCATCTCTCATTCTTCTGGCTTAGCAACATACGCCTGCGCTCTCGCCCTTCAAACCGGACAGTCTCTTTTCAAAGCTCTAGCATTATTAGAGCGTGGACGAGGTATTATCCTTAGTCTTCTTATAGATGACCGGAGTGACACGTCTCAACTGAAGAGGGCACATCCCATTTTATGTGCACAATACGAAAGCCTTCGCATCGAGGTAAATACGCCTGTCCAGAGCACCCCGCCCCAGAGGACGGGTGAGCCTATTTCCATTAGACGACCAAAGGCTCTCGACGAGCTCCAAAAATGTATACAGGACATACGACAACTTCCAGGCTTCGGTACATTTCAACAGGGACTCACCGCAGAGCAAAATGAAAGATGCCTCTAATGAGGGCAGCATCATCGTGGTGAACGTCACTAGCCTAAGAAGTGATGCTATTGTTGTCTCTTCAGCCGGATTTAGCTTGATCCCTCTTCCTCGGTTTAGTGCCGCCCAAGCGCAGAGTTGGGTCGACCAGGAGTTGACTTCAGCTTCGCCGTGTGATCGGGGTGTGAAGAACAAATCATACCGCCAATTTCTAGTCTGGCTCTGGCGAGAGTGTGTAAAGCCTATACTGACTGAGCTCGGTAATTCGGTTCAATCATCTCTGGAGGATCTCCCAAGGGTCTGGTGGATCGGGACCGGACTTGCCAGCTCCTTCCCCTTCCACGCGGCGTGTGATATCTCTACAGGGGAAAATACATTCTGTCGCGTTCTATCTTCCTACACCCCTTCAATCAAGGCACTCCAACATGCCAGAGAGCGGGTTTCTATCTCTACCCCAACAAGCGAAAACCCTTCAAAGCTACCCATGGTTACCATGGCAAACACACCCGGCGCTGATGACTTACCCGGGGTAAAGGCCGAAAGGTCCACGGTCGTAAGAGCACTTGGAAATTCCGTTCAAGTGGAATTACTCGATCAACCGGACTCGGCAAGTGTTATGCGCCAGATCCGCGAATGCAATATTGCCCACTTCGCTTGCCACGGAACCTCAGACTCGGATGATCCTTCTCAAAGTGGCCTCTTACTGCAGACTGCCACTGCAAATCCAAGACAGGACATCTTGAGCGTTCTCAAACTTTGCGAAAACTACCCTACGCTTGGAGAAATTGCATACCTCTCTGCATGCTCGACTGCGGAGAATCAGGCGAAACGTCTGATAGATGAGGTCCTCCATGTTGTGAGTGGTTTCCAGGTCGCCGGATTCAGACACGTCATTGGGACTTTGTGGCCATCTGAGTGGCATGCCATGGTTAATTTGGGCGCGTCGGGAGTCAGTAGATTATACTGTGCAAGGTCCGCAAATATCAGTATAGGCGCAATATCAGCACTTTATCGTATAGTCTCGCAAGAGCAGTCACTTGGCCTTGTCCACTATTTCGAGATTAGGCTGCGAAACTAGGGGTTACGGGGCACGACTTTAGGAACCTAACCTCACGAGGGTTAACCTATCTTCGTAATATACCAGAGAGTACCACACAAGCGTATGCTGAAAACTAACTTCCATCTTCGGTGAGTTCGCACCCCAAGTATGCTGTGTTTGATGCCTTAGTGTCGGGTACGCCCCTCTGTCTGAAACCAGGCCGCGTCACGTGCAGGCAATTATGGCTGGTATACTAAGTATTAGTGGTATGGTGCATGAATTCATGGAGTTTCATGGCTGGCAGAAAAAAGGGCAGAAAGTAAAGCGGTCTATAAGGGGTCAAATACTTCTGCGGAGTCATTGTACATTAATTGTGAAACTGCATAGCGGTTTGTGTTTTGTGAGGCTTTTCTCGCCCAAAAATTGAGTGCTATATCAAGTGTGTATATCGACCTGCGCCACTAGGAGCCGCCACTACGAGACGCCTTAATTATCACATTTCGCTGAAGACCATATGTCTAAAGCGAGCAATATGTCTGCATATACTGCGCTTCCTGTCTTATGGATCAATTTGACAACGGAACAAGACGCCCCTCCTGGTGAAAAAGCCGAACCTATCTGTCCCCTGCTCCATTGATGCACGAGTTTTCGAGTTGTCCACCTAAAGAATGCCTACGCTTCACCTGACATAAATGCGTCGTTAGAGCCCCTTGGTGTGCTTGCTCCTATTGCGCCAAGGATTACGTTTATGTCTACTGTTTGAAGGCCAAAGGTCTCCGCCAATTGTTCCGCAGCCATCACGAGGGCGAAGGAAGGAGGCAATTGAAAGAAACGTGCAAGAGAAGTTTTGAATAGCATCTTCGAGCTGACACACATGGCATCATAGCCTATGGCTCCATTTGAAAGTCGGAAACGATAGTTAGTTCTCTTTTCTCCCCGCTATGCTGCTTTGCCCAGATCCGACAGGGTGGCACAGTCCACACATGTCAGAATTGGTCATTAGTACTCGGCGTTTTTCCCAGCCCAACTGGAGAACCGTTGTGAAGGAGCCGAGTTCTCAATGATTACAACTCGCCCGGGCCGTTTGATGTGAAACTAAACATCCTTTTTCTCTGAAGCTTGAACGTCGCCTTCAAATGCATCTACAGGTCAATCTTTATAGATACAAGTTACTTATGACATGGTGCACTTGAAAGCTGCGTATACTGGTCTGAAAACAATCAGCAATGTTTTGCGACGCTTTGAATATTCTCATTTACAGGGCAAAGGGCTTTCAGGAGACTATAGATCCTTAAGTTACCGGTCTGAGTGAAGATAGGTGGGAGTAGAAGAATAAATTCGAGGGAAAGTTGCAGTTCCTGGTTTCCTCAATGATGCATCAGAAATTTTCAGAGCTAGTCTCTAGGACCACGAGGAAACGCGTGAAGTTCACTAAGGGAGCACAAGATGCAAGGCCTCAGCGACGGTGCCAGACTACTGCTAGGTATCTGCATAGCTGTGGGGGAACCCAAGGGGAGCATGTTGGCTTCTCCTCTAATTTGGAAGCTCGCTAGGTGAAGAAAGAGACTTCTTTCCTCGTCAGTTTTTCCCGCACCAGAAATGTAGTTTGTCGCTCGGCCATGCCAGTTATTTCTTCGAACTTTCTAAATACTTATAAGTTGCTTCAGAGTCTTCACTTTCAGGTCACGTATGGTCCTTTGTAAAGGACCGTGAGTGACTGCAGGTGACTCGATGTAGCTCCCGCTCCGTGCTCCAGTCAGTCTCTCCATGGGATCCTCAACTATAGAAAGACCCTCTCATTGAAAAAGCGTCAATGTCAGGCACGAGTGGCTCTTTGATATTCGACGCGTAATAGATCTTGCGGGTAAATTTTGAGGCAGCCCAACGCATAAGAAGTGGGAGAAGTACTTTCAAGTCAATAAGGGCATATTGTCTCCACTTGAGTGTGAGTCGCACGTGATTTAATGTGGTCCACAATCCTGACATCGGAGTGCATTAGCTTTGTGGCTAGCCAAGTGGAGATTTCCAGACCCTGAGACAACGAGCTAGTGCACAGGACCTACGAGTCTAAGAGATCAGGCTGCTATATTGATATATATAGGCTACGGTATTGAGAGGGTTCAGTGTCTTTCTGGAAACTTTTCTACAGAAGATAAGCAAACGAATATTTCAGCCACTACTCTCACAATCCGTATATATTTATATGAACTAAGCCATATTCAGCTGTTCATCCAGTATGTGGCAGTAAGCTTTCAACGCCTGCCCGACCATATGGACCACAGACCATATAGTTTCTCCACTGAGTATCCGGGACCAAATTCGAATAACATGAGAACACAATTCAATCGGAGATCGCTCGAGCCCTTCAACCTGCCATTGCTCGGACAAACTATCCGCTTCTCCTACCATGTCGGTTATATAAGCAAGCAACCGAAGCTCATCTTCGTCAAGTGAAGTGCTAGAGGAATCTGATCCCAAGGTATCCAGCCACTTGCTGATGACAAACGCACACTCGAGAGCACAAAGAGAGTGTTGGAGTGACCAAGTGAAAGCTTGATTGTGTGCGACAGTGTTGACTCCAAGTTTCACTGGGATGCTCAGTGCGTGTGCAGAGTATAAAACAGTGCTTGTGAGCTTTGGGCTCCTCCTCAAGCGTGGGCTCTGGTGTATTGTTTGCGCGAGGATTTGTGGATCCTGATCACCGAGCGCACGCCATGGCCCCACGTCGACATGTAATCGTATATAAGCCATGCGGAGAAGCGCAGTTGAGTTGAAAGACACTGGGCCCGAAGAATTGCTTGGTTGCAAAGAGGATTCAGGGTTGTTTTCCCATTGAACTTGCCAGTTTCTGAGCGCCAATTCCATATTGTTCACGTCCATCTCGTCTAATGATGACATATCACCATTTGCTTTGGGCTTCATCTTGTTCAATTCTCGTAGCAGATAAATCTGCTGGATCAATGCCAGAATCAGAACGTAACCGCCTAGCGAAGAATATTGTTCAAATCTGTTAGCGCAGTGATTTGAGAAAAGCTGCAAAAAGCAAGCTCGAAACTGCGGCTCAGCCACGGACCCTTTTCGAGCTTCCCGCCAGGCAGATTCAGTCTGGGCTTCCCAGTCTGCTTCACGTGAGGGAAGACTGATATTGAGTTCAGAGTTGAGTATTGGAGGCGGAGTATTGTAAATGATTGTATGGAAATTGAAGAAGCAAAATATAATTGCGGCGGTCCTTTTCAATCCCTCGGCATGTATCCATTCCGGCCACGCTGCAATATGCAAGTTGCGAGTTTGAAGGAGCTTCTCTTCTCGAACAAAGCAAGCCAAAACACTTTGAAGGCTAGCAGGCTCGTTGCAAAAGACTGCCGGATCTCCCCACGTTGACATTGCCATGAGCAAAAGCAAAGTTTGCGCGAGAGGTAGTGCATCTTTTAGGCGATCGTCGTTGTCACCAGTAACCGAATCTCGTAACCCTGTTCGAAGCCGGGGGGTATAATCTTGAAGGCGCCTCATGCTGATTCTCAGCTCCAGTCTCCCTCGAAAATGGCTCTTCTTGAAGCCCAGCTTTGCGACGGCGGAGACGTTCTAGTATTATAGCATTGGAAACTTTGAATAACTTCACAGCATGTTCCCCATCAAAAGAGTATTGGGCTCCAATAGCTGCCACGGCAAGTGTCAACTCAACCGGATTGTCGGTTGGTGAGAATGTCGGTATATGCAAAAAGGGTAGATGGCGGTGAAACCCAGTCATATATGCTGCAACATACCGGGACAATGTATGACGGGATGGGAGCCTGAAGTCTGAGGTGAGAAATGATATGAAGGGTCGGATGTTAGCCAGTACATGATTCCAGTCTGCTTGAGTAATGTTCCACGGGTCCTTTCGAGCTTTGTTATGCGAGGCTGGGTTAAAAGTGGGAAATGTAGAAGTAAACTGGTCAAACAAAGAAGGCATTGGCGACTTTGGTCGTGAGGGAGTGTTTTGAGGTTGCAAATGATCTGGAGAGGGTGGAGGCCCAGGAGCTCCAAATGGAGGAGCTAAAGGAAACGTTATGAGTGGTTGGTCAACCATCAATGCTGGCAAACTAGTGGAGTATGGTAAATCCATGCTGTCAATAAAGTCATCGAAGTCCCCAAAGTCGCGATTTTGGTGGGTCCATGGCATGCGGTATGATTCGAAAGGGGGTCGGTAGAAATTGAAGTACCCATGTCGACATCAGTGTGAACTGAGCTTTGATTGAACAAAAAGGGATCCAAGCCAACATCAGTGGTGGTTTCCAACGGAGGGTTTGATTGGCCCTGTGTTGCCTCAATGCTTGGTGCACAAGTTTGCAATGCCACCATGCTTGGGCCGCTGCAATTAGCCGTTTCATCAAAAGATGCCTGAAGTGAACCAGAATCGGCCGCAGGAGGACAGCCACCGGTTGACAGGTCCGGATGAGTCAGCGCAACATGACGGCCAAGTAGATCTCTATTATCTATCAGTAAATCCGTGCCATGGCAGATGAACAGCACACTGTACCGCCTTGCGAAGCCCGCAGAACAAATTTTGCATTGGAATGGCTTTTCTTTGGTATCTGTTCAATTATGAGTGAGGCTCCAAAGATCAGCAGGGGACATACGTAGTCGTTCATGTCGTTGTAAATGCTCGTTCCGGAAAAATTCCTTGGCGCAAAACTGGCATCGGAAAGATCTTTTCTCTTTTTTGCGATCACCGGACTGCTCGCCTGCGCCTGCTTCCTTGCCATAATTGGCCATTGAGCGTTTCAGCCTTGGTGCCATTGTAAAGGCAGTGTTGCGATTGTTATGAACACTCAGATCAGATGAGATGACCCTATCAGTAAAGTGCCGCGGTGACGCGGTGACGCTAGGAATGCTGAGTCATACGGAAAAACGTAACGTAATTCCCGAGTGAGTGGGTCACACAAGCGAGCGGGTCAGCCCAAATCACCGTAGTAAATGCATTAAATTTAGAACTCGATATTGCAACAACCACAAATTAATTTTATGTGATTATGATGATGATGAATTCATTTGCCCGATGTAGCTCGCTCTAAATAATGCTGCTATGCGGGAGTGCTGTCAGGCCTGCCGACAGCTGGAAAGTGGTTGCCAGCCCACTAGACGACCACTTCATGAAACTCAGTGGGTTTCAGAAGAGATCGTTGTCGAATGTAGGGTATGAAACATGACAAACAAATAGGAAATAAGACCAAAACGAACGTCCTTGGCTCCCGCCCCCTAGCTCCAAAGAGCATCGGCGGAATAACTACCGCTTTGGTAGATTCTGCGCATAGCAGAGAGGGAGGCCCCTCACGTTGAGCCTGCCAAGCTTTGTAAGGCTCGGAGGACACGCCTGTCTTCGCAACCGCCTTTTCGCGGTGGTGATAGAATTCCAGTCCGGGGTCTAGCCAGTAGCCCAGGTAGCGTTCAGCTGTCGTCGTCGCTGTTACTGTGTGCCCTTGTAGAGATAGTGCCGTGTATTGCGGGCCAGTCTCTCGAGTGTTCACGAAGTGTATAAGAGCGTACTTCTTTCGGTCAAAGACGGAGGCATGCGTTTTGGCCCATCGATCAGCTTTTCGACATGCCGCTCTGAGGTTTCCTCGTGGTTTCGCGCTCGCTGTCTCCCTGGGCCATGAAGCAGACGTCATCCGCCCAGCCGTTGCTAGTCACGCCGTTTACGCAGTTCTCAATGAGGTCTGCGTTGTAAAGGAGATAGAGGATCGGGGAAATCGGTGACCCCGAGCTAATCTTATATGGGGAAACCGGCCATGCTCTCTTTAAATACAGAAAGCTTTTGGGATATAAATTTAACATGATCGCAATGTCGGCGGAGTTAAAAATAAATTCCGCACGCCGGGCTATTGACTTCAAGTCTCATCTTCAATCCGCCAATCAAAGAAAGGGCGGGGCTTCCGTATAATCTATTTCCGACATCTCCGACCCGGGGTTTACCACACCCAGCTTCGGCACTGCTGCATGGGAGGCAATGTTTTGATAACTCGTAACGAAGTCTTGTTATGGAGGTTCACCTGAAGTGTCTAATTAAAGGTCATAGCATCTCATCTCAGTCTACCAAAAATGTTTTGTTTTGGTAGATGCTCTGTCAATGGGTTATAATCCCGTTGCGCTGGGGGCGGCAATGAACTCCAAAGTGCCAAGAACCCCAGAGTGCCAAGAACCCAAACCGTAACGTGGTCAGCACAAGGGACCCGACCGGACAATTCTTTGGCTAGGTAGTCATCTATGGGATAAAATCCTCCAGGCATTTCCAATTTTTTCCACCGTCGCTATTCTTCTTGCTAACAGCCTGATACGAGCAGGAAAAGCATTATGAACCCACTCCAAGACGCGGGTGTCTCACCGCACATTATTGCACTGTTAGACCGTCTCCATAAGCTGTCTCTCGACCAGGAGGCCAACCTCGAAATCACCGCCCTTCCCCACGATGCAGTCCATGCAGCAGCTCGCGACGCCTTTATCGCGCTTGATCAGGGAAAATGCTATTTCGTTTACCAGTTGGCCCGAGCAACAAATGCGAAAACTATAGTTGAAGCAGGTACCAGCTTCGGTGTTAGTACCATCTACCTCAGCCTGGCAGCAAACGCCAACGTCGAATCCTCCGGTGGACAATGCGCCGTCATAGCCACGGAGCACGAACCATCCAAAGCAGCCCAAGCTCGCAAGTACTGGAATGAAGTAGGGAACAGTATCACTAGCAATATCGACCTCCGCATCGGCGATCTGCTTCAAACTTTGAAAGAAGATGTTCCTCAAGTCGACCTGGTTCTCATTGACAGTGAGTGATATTTCGAGGAAGTGCAATCCAGCTACTGACCCGACCTTAGTTTGGGCCCCTATGACCTTGCCAACACTCAAGCTCTTACAGCCACGTCTGCGCCATGGAGCAGTTATTATTATCGACAACACAATCAGCTCGGCATCGCGGTATAAGGATTTGCTGCAGTATCTACGCGCCGATGGCAGCGGTTTCCTAAACCTCACAGTACCATATTCTAAAGGCCTAGAAATGTGTATATACTCCCCATAATACTATTCAATCTGATCTTTGGTTCGAGAAAAATTTATGCAGGTAGTTTAAATGCTTCAGAGCTTGGCCTTACGTTCTCTCCGCGCTAAGGAATACCAGCGTGCGTGGCACTTTGGTGCAATAGGCGTTGCTTGGCCAGTCAACTAGCGTCTGCTCCATATTAAACGAGGTCAGTGTTAGCAATATACGCTTTAGCAGGCAAGCCAAAGTAATAGTACAGATACCGCTATCATTTCAGAAAGGAGGCAAAAATGCTTTTGGATGCTTAGCATCCGCAACATGCGGACGAAGTGCGCGGCACATAATTGTCGTCTCCCACCATGTATGCCTTAGTCGATCATACGAGCAGGCTTGCTAAAAGCCTTCAACTGTCTTGAAATTCATTGCCATGGAACATGTGACTAAAGCCATACGTCTGCGTACAGTCAACACCGAAGCGGAAACCTCCATAAAAGAGCCAGCGTCTGAATTGGCCTCACTCCACTAGAAAGTACGCAATTTGACAACAGGCCTAGAACCTAGAACCAGCATCGCGAAAGTACCTCAGGCGGGAGCATATTCAGCATCATGTTCTACTCTAGAGCTTTTCATTATAATACAGCGATCTACAGATCTGCGATGATTTGAGATTAAGACTATTAAATAGAGCCGGAACTGTCAATCAAGGGAGGCGACATCGACGAGGAGGCAAGTTTATTTGAACATGAATGACACTGTTATGGCATGCCACGCAGCTTCATCGGAAGGTAGGTCAGTAGATTTGGGTAACGGCTCGACTAGGTATGAAGGAGAGGAAACAACCTCAAAATGGCGCAAACTTTGAAGTTCCAGCAGCTTAAAACGGGTGCACACATAACAGGAAGGGAGAACGACCTTATTAAATCACAAAAATGGCCAAGCTGATTGAGCCTATCGATTGATATTTGAAGTTGAATACAGAGAACATGCGGTATTCGGCAATCTGATCTCTCAGGACCCCTTTCGCCCCGTCACCAAGCATCACTCCTGGGATACTGGAAGAACTCACGAGCACCTCCCTCTCAGCCAATGTTTGGAAGAGGCGCTAGACTCTAACGGGATGAGTTCAATTTATCACCGTTACCATCGGGCATCCAAGGTGCTTTTCCTTGTCACGCAGCATCACGAAAGCCAAAGAAATTGACAATCAATCTACCAGCACATAAGGCTGCGTACGAAGTATAGAATAGCTTAATATTGAAGCCTTCAAGCCCTCTCCCCAAGATTATCCCCACAGAGGGACTCATGAATACAAGGGACGGCATATCCTAGGCCGAAGTATCGAAGTACAAATACTTACGATCAACCACTTCATGTTGATTGGGCTATCGGAGTCGGTCTCAATTCACCATGCCTTGACGATGAGGCTGAACCGTTGTACTAGTATGTAGTGATGTTCTCACTGCCAGTGCTGTGGAAGTACGTGTCGGCATGTAATCATGGTGGAACCAGGGATAAAAGTTTTGTACAGCTGCTTTTTTTTTTGATCTTCTTGGCATTGTGCGTTCATTTCGCTTATTATGCGTTCTGTACTATAAAAGAGATAGCCAGATTATATTCAGAATGTCAGACATCGTCTATCTTGTTGATTTTGACCACATTCCCACATCCCACGTCAGGTGATGAGTGGCCGATCATAGCTCCACTTGGTCAGACAGTACGTAATAAGGCATTTGCCTGTGAGCGTCGGTGCTTTAAGTTCTCAATAGCTGGTCTGCAGAAAGACATACTTGATTGCCCGTAAGCCAGGTCGAAGGATCTAAATGAGAGAAAAGAAGCGCGTCGTTCTTTTATCAGATAGTCTGAAGGGTGGAGGTCGGGCAAACGGACAGCTGAAGACTATTGAGTTTCGAGGCCGGGTCTCGCTACCGAGGGATGACAAAGCA